GTGTAAATTTTAACACAGGAATGAATATAAAGTTGAACACAGAGCTGTGTATAACATTTAACACACAGCCATTGCTGCACCTCACACGGACCCACTGCAGGTCTGTCACTGGAACAAAGCTCTCAGGTGTAATTGCAACAAAAGCACTGACAGGGAACCTCCATTGTTGTGCTGTTGTTTACAATCCATGTCAGGAGAATAATTTTAAAAAGTCCTTTTAGGAAATTAAGATTTCTTATTTATTTGAGGGGGGAAAAAACAACAAAACTAAATTATTTTACTACTTACTGGCAAAGTCATTCTTGCTACATTACCAATTTTTAAAACTCACATTTCATTCAATTAAGATTTCATACTGTTGACAAAATGATGCTGTCCAAAAAAAAAAAAATTGTAATAGCTGCTATATACAAGCCCATAAATAAACTGTGAGATTTTCAAGCTTCAAGAGACCGAGGACAGGAAGAGATTGTTTGAAGATTCATTTGAGCATTTCTTATTCAGTACATTTGCTGCATTCAGTACCAAGAAAAAACACCTTGAATCAAAGAAAAAGAGTGGATATGGATGGCAACAGGAGCCATTTGGACTCTGTGGGATTTTCACCAGTTGATCAGAGACAGAAGCAGCCCCAGCCCCACTGCAGGGTGATAAATTCAGTGCTCAAAGCTCATGGGCCAAGATCAAACTGCTTCACCCTCAGGTACAGCACAGGGGCAGGAGGAGCTCAGGGGACACAGGATCATCAATCATCAATAATTAATATTCAATAATCATTAATCAATAATTAATAGCCAATAATCAATAATCAATGCTCCCTCAACACAGAACACTTCCACTCAAAAGTATCAAAGCAAACATTTTCATGCTCATCTCACTTCTGGGGAACAATTTTAAAACAGTGAATAATAAAAAACTGACTTAGCCCTTTGTACCCCTGGCACTTTGGCTCTGGTTTGGGGTTTTTTTCAAATGGACCTTGGGCAGTCCCAAAATGATCAGTAGAGCACAGGAGGAATTGCAGGGAATGAAAATTGTGCAGAGGGAAATACTCTTAAAAATTAAGATTAAAAAAAGAAAAAAGAAGCTTTTCTGTGTTGTCTGTTTCATTCACAGAACTCTGTGCTATAATACAGTGACTAGAACAGAAATGATCAAGGAGGGTTTTGATTTGTATTTGTGGTCACAGTGTAAAAAAACAAAAACAAACCAAAGAAACAAACCAAAACCAAAAGAACTCATGTGCTCCAGTATAAAAAAAATTGCTTAAATACATTGTCTGCTCACAGTACAAACTCTGAACACTCTTATCACAGTACTCTTCTCTTCCATCTCCTCTGGACATCCCAAGGGCTCTGTCCACGGGGTCTTTTGGGGAAAAAAAAGTGATTTTCAGGCCAAGAAAAGCCCATATATTTGCACAGGTGTAAGACAGAGCAGTGCAGAAAAGTCCAGAAAACCACACACAAAAGCCAAGACAAAAGAAAAAAGCATCTCCAGATTCAGCTGGATTCAAACTGACCTGTTTGGAGTTAGCTGTCATTGATGGAGTTATTTAGCATTAGTAAACTTGATTAAACCCATGGATTTCATGGCTGTGTTTGGAAAGGTTGGGCCAAACTGAAGCAGATTCTTTTTGTTTTTTTTTTTTTTTTTAGTGCAAGAAGGAAACATGGGCAAAACTTGGTTTGGAGCAAANTTTTTTTTTTTTTTTTTTTTTTTTAGTGCAGGAAGGAAACATGGGCAAAACTTGGTTTGGAGCAAACAGAAATGAAATGCATTAAGTTTTTCTAAACTTTCAATTCCATGTCTTTTGGATTAACCACTTACTAAATTAATTCAGTCATAACTGATGGGCATTTCCTGTTCCCTAAAGATCGATTTACTCTCATTTTACGTTTTGATTTAAAAAAAAAATTAAAAAATTAAAAAATTAAAAAATTAAAAAATTAAAAAATTAAAAAATTAAAAAATTAAAAAATTAAAAAGAAAAAAAAGAAAAAAATTACAGTGTTTTTTCCTCCTTCAAGACCCTTTATAGCAGTACTGAAGCAGAAGCCCTGAATGCTGAGCAGAGTTGAAAAGCACACAGGAAGGTGTTCCAGAGCTGTGTGCAGGACAGGATGCACAGACTGGACTGGGCTGGGGTCTCCACAGTCCCTGCGTGTGTCCCACCTTGTCCAGGGGTACCAGGAGGAGCCCCAGCCCTGGGGCAGAGCAGGGCCAGGCTTGGTGTGGGATCAGCAGCCAGGGTGGCCCAGGACTCTGTGCTGAGAGGGGAGCAGGAGCTCCTGCAGCTCTCAGAGCTGATCCACTCCCCTGTGCCACTGGCACTGCTTCCCCCCGGCTCCTCCTGCCATTCCCATCCAACACCACGCCTTGCATTTCCAATCAACCTCACTTTGATAATTCTGTAAGGTAATAAATGTAAACACAGAGAGCACAGCAAGTCTGGAATGGTCTCATTACAACATCACAACGGGAAGCATTTCATTTTAGAGTATAAAAATCCATCCTTTCAGAGGTATGTTGCTTTCCCTCAGTTCTGGAATGATTCAGAGAGCAATAAGCCCTCCTTGCATACCGAGTGTTTTCATCATTGCTGACAAAAGCATCCAGTGTATATTTGTGCTGGTCATTGTTACAGCTATTGCTAACAGCCAGGTGCTAGAACGTGTTACAGTTCTGAAGGCAAGCAACGAGGGCTATTTACTCAGGAAAACAATATGGCAATTCATTAGGCAGTGACTTAAAAACCCCAATTCTCTCCTGCTCTTGGCAGTGAGAAGGAGCTGGTGGACACGGTGTCAGAGGTCCTGAGTGTATGGCTTGGTTTTCTCAGGGGGCTGCTCCTGCTGTCACACCGCTGATAAATCAACACGGTTTGCTGAATTGGAGCTTTTATCCCAGGTGTTCAGCTTCGTGGGGCTCGTGCCTGGCCTGTTCCCAGTCATCTGGAAAATAAAATAGTATAGAAAATTGATTTATTTATTTTGCCAAGCCACTCTTGCCTGGATGAAATAAAAGCTTGAGAGCATCTATCCACATTCCAATGTAGTCACAGGGTCGAGAGAGCACATGCCATAAAGGATTTTTAAACAGTTACTGCCAGGAGCTGAGGTGATTGGCAACGATCACTTAATCATAGCTGTCACTTCAGAGGGCTGGTTCTTTATGAAAACAAACGTCTTGTGTCTCAAGACAATCTAAGGAGGGCTAGAAAAAGATATTCACGTGTTGGTTTAAGAGTGAGAATCAGAGAGCCACCACCATCAGAGCAGCACATTGCCAGGACTGCAGGAATGCAGAATTGGCAATTGGGAACAGCCCTATGAGCCACAGCCAGGGCTCATAAAGCTCTGTTTGCTTTTATTTCACACTTGCACAAAAGCAGAGATTTGTCCTTTGCTTTCAAAACTGATATTGGAGCTGCAGCTCCACCTGGTTCCAGCTGTCTACACCTTGCACTGGGCTGGTACTAAAAACACCCTTGGGCCTGCTCTGTTCTTTCCAGCAGAATTTAATGTGGAACACTCAAATACAAGAGGGGCAAAGGAGCAATACTTACAATGTCTGAATTGAAGGGCTTCACATTGATGTTGCGAGTTGAGCTGCTGGTGAGGGACCAGACCTTGGTTTTGTGCTTAAAGGCAGCTCTGACCTTTGGCAAAAGCAGTGAGAGCAGTTGAAATAGTTGAGTTTATTCGAAATAGTTGTGTTTGTTTGAAATAGTTGTGTTTATTTTCACAGGTGCAGCCTGCAATCATTTCCCCTTTTTCCTCCCTCCACTCAAATGTCACTGTGCTATCAAACAGCAAACAATCCAGCCCTTCACTCTTCTTTGTCTTTATGGAGGTTTTACAGGACTCCTTCACATTTCCTAAGGAACTGCCGAGCCCCATGGAGCAGGAGGAGCCCCATGGAGCAGGAGGAGCCCCGTGGAGCAGGAGGAGCCCCGTGGAGCAGGAGGAGCCCCGTGGAGCAGGAGGAGCCCCGTGGAGCAGGAGGAGCCCAGCCAGGCTCTCCCTGGGCTCCACACATCCCTGATTTTTCCAGGTGCCACCAGGACACAGAGCTGAGCCATTTAAAGGTGCTGGATCAAACCCCTGGAGATGGAGCAATGCTCTCCACCAAGGTGAAAATCAAATCAGCTGCAGAAAGGACACATGGAGAGACAAGAGGGGGAGATTTGTCAAGGATTAATGGCTGGAAGTGGCTGACCAGTGTTGGAGAGATTTTCAGATCAAGGAGAGTTTTTCAGGCCCACTCTCCTGTAATTCTTTATAATACCTGTGCATTTCTGTCTGGGTGCACTGGGAATAAAGCCCTTTTTTCACCCAGACACTTCTATTCCCAGCCTATGGATGTTTCTTTACAATGTCTGAGTTTTGCTTCTCAGAAATAAATTCTCCAGAAGAATTCCCACTGTTTAGCTAAAGGAGTATTTTAATTATGCACAGCCTATGATGGAGCCAGTAGGACCTGCTCTCCAAAAATGACAGCTCACATCAGCTGTGTATAAACTGGTTTTTGTGGATATAAATTCTGAAAAGTTTCTGAATTTAATTTCTCATGAGGTTCTGAAAAAATGACAGCAATTCAAATATTTGTATTTGATATAAAACATTTGAAACTTGAAGATTTCTAAGCCTGGGAGAGAACAGAATAAAGAAACATTTTTCCTCCCTACCTTTAACCTGCCTGCTTCATTTTAGTTGATTTTAATAAAGATCAAGAGTTTCACAGTCAGACCTGACTCTCCAAAGTGATTTTGGCAGAGATCACAGCAGTGAAGTGAGATGGAATAGGCTGGCAAACATTAATAAAGGATGATTTCAGTGTGGGAGGGCTGGAGTGCTGCTGTAGCACAGGAGGCAGCAGCAGGTCCAGGGGCAGAGCTGCTCATTGGAAAAAACCAAAAAAAAAACCAAAGCTCAGGGTCTCAGTGAGCACTGCCCTGGCAGCTGGAAATGCTTCTCCTACAAACCACAGCTTTTCACACTTGCAGCTCCTGCTCTGCCACGGGAGGAGAGGATGCTGCAGCCAAATTTACATCAGCCTTGGCTTGGCTTTATCCCAGTGGCTTTAATGAGGCCTTAATGCAAAAAGATGCCTCAGTCCCCTGTGAAAACCTGAACTCCCTGCCAAGAAAAATACCTGGAATATTTCTACTCAGTGTGGTTTCCCATCGGGGACTGCATGAGCAACATCCAGAAGTATGTTTTACTGAGAATAATATTTATTTTGCTCCGTGGAACTGCAGCTGTGGCAGAGCCCCCAGCAGGGACTGCCAGAGTGAGTCCTGCTCCCACATTTTGGCGTTTTCACCTGGCAGTGCCTGCTCAGCCCTCCAGCTTCTCTCCTGGCTCCCGAGCTGCTCCTCTAATCTTTGTTCTGCGCTTCACACCTTTCTTATGCTAATTAAAACGAGTGTCAAGCACGGCTCAAAATGCTGAGAGTCCAAAAGCCAGAACAGTCAGGGATTAATTAAAGGAAAAAGGGAATCAGTGGCATAGGAGGCAGTGGTAATGGAGAAAGCCAGTTCTTGCTGCACACTTCTGTTCTTTGATTTGCTAACACCAAATTTGTTAAACACCATTTGGTTACATACCTCCGAGTTCAGAAGACAGTGAAACAGGAACATGAAAAACCCCTGAGAAGGGAAAAAAAGGGAGAAGGGTGAGGTCTGGCAGTGACAAACCAAATACAACGATGTGTTTCTGTCAGCACAGCACAGAGCAGGCACCAGGAGCTCTGTAAACATCTGAGAGCACTAAACCAGAGTGTCCCAAGTGAGACTGGGGAAACCTTCAGCATTGCTCCCTGTGAGGCTGCTCTGCAACTGTTCCTCCAAAGGAACACCTCCCAAACTTTACTGTACTGAAGGGAAAATCTGGCTGAAAATATGCAGCAATTCTTGTTCCATGACAACAAGAGAACTTTTTGTTTGTGGTTGCAAAGGCCAAGGAGAGGGAAATCTCATAGGGAAACACCAGATCAGGATTTTTCAGGTTAGAAAAGCAAGGTGTTAGCACTAGGAAAATTTTCACGGCAGAATTTTGCTCTCCTTGGGCTTTCAGCCCAATGCAAAGTGAAAAGGTCTCATCCCTTTCCCTCCCCAAACAATTCTGTTTTTCTGGTGGCAGCACCAAGAACCCCGTGTCACTATTTTTGTATCCACAGTGCTGATTGTTCCCAAGACAAGAAAGGGCTGACAGGAGATGGTTTTTGCTTCCCCTTTGTAAGCACAGCTGGGGTAAGAGCTGTGCCTCCCTGCGTGCTCAGGGCTGGCCAGATGTTCCCATTCCTCCTTGGACACAGCTGCATCCCTGGGCTGCTGTGCCAAGGACAGGAGGGTTGATTTTCCTGCGTGCAGGAGCTCGGGGAACAGCTCTGCCTCTGATCTCTCCATAAACTCCTGTTTGCTTTCCCTCAGTCTCACTAGTGAAACCTCAAATTGGCACTGAAAAATTGGCCTGGTATCTCTGCTGAAGAATCCTGCCTGTGGTACACAGTGCTGCAAGAAAGAATTTCATTTCATTTCATTTCATTTCTAAAGCTCAGTGCTGTCTCATTTATTTAATTATTGCTGCTGGAAACACTAAGGAGCAGGATACAAGTTCTGTTCAAACAAAGACAAGGATTGCCAGCACACTATGCTCAGCACAGACTTAAAAGACAGAGGAAGGAACACAGAATAAAATACAATAAGCACAAACATGTGAAAACATTACTAATGATCCATTTAATTGGATCTCAGAAGCACTTCTGTAGCCATAAATTTTCCCACCAGGTACTTACTTGTAGTGAATTAAAAACAGCAAATATATACTGGAACACTAAAGCGTGGGCATTGACAGCCAAAATGCCAAAGATCCACGAGCTGCCCAAGATTGGTAAGAGAACAGCCACGGCTTTAGCTGTTAGTCTGCAAGAGAAAATGGAAACAGGAGCATTAAAGAAATGCCAGCCTGCACACCAAAGGCTTTGTCAGTCATGTCCTGGCAGCACAGCAGCAGGTGGAACTCTTCTTTACCATGAAATTCCTTTAATGGGCAAGATTTTAATGATTTGTTCATCTGTGAAAATGGGGATAACAGAGCGTTGGTATCACACAGGATAAATGCAGCTGGTGAGTCAGTAAGTGAGGAGCAGGGAAAGAGATCTGAGAAATGGCCATAAAATACATAAAATACATAAAATACATCAACTACATCAAATACATAAAATACATGAAATACATGAAATACATGAAATACATGAAATACATGAAATACATGAAATACATGAAATACTGCAGCCACCCCCTGAGCTCCCAGGGGAGTTTCACTGTGTTCGTGGGAGCCTCGTGCAAGAGCCACGAAGCACTGAGCACTGCACAGCCATTCCTGGTCTGGAATCCCCAAAAAACTCCCCAGGCTCGGGGCAAGCATTGCCATCAGCAGCTGACACGACACTAACTAACACAATAACTAACACAATAACACACTAACTAACACAGTAACTAAAATAATAACACTAATATAATAACACTCAATAACTAACACAATAACACACTAACTAACACAGTAACTAAAATAATAACACTAATATAATAACACTCAATAACTAACATAATAACACTAACTAATATAATAACATTAACATATAACCCTAACAAACATATAACACTAACATGCAACCCTAACTAATATAATAACCCTAACTAATATAATAACCCTAACTAATATAATAACCCTAACTAATGTAATAACCCTCACTAACACACCCCTGACACGTGGCCCTGCTGCCAGAGCCCTGCAGGAGCAGCAGTGAACCCTCACAGCCAGGACCCGATTTCAGTGGCCCAGGACCCGATTTCAGTGGCCCAGGACCCGATTTCAGTGGCCAAAGGTTTTCCTGGCCGGCTGAGAGCAGCTGCAGAGCTGCGAGGGACAAAGCAGAGAGGGAACCATTCGTGTCTGAAATGTGCCAGGTCTGATCCCAGCTTCCAGCACTACAGCCCTCTGTGACTCCTGCTGCAGCCCGTGGGACTCGTGCACATTTATCACAGTCAGTGTGAAAAAATAAAATAGAAAATAAAATAGAAAATAAAAAATATAAAATGAAATTAAAATAAAATACAAAAAATAAAATAAAATATAAAAAATGAAATAAAAATGAAATAAAATAAATAAAAATAAAATAAAATAAAATATAAAATAAAATTACAATAAAATAAAATAGAAAATAAAAAATAAAATTAAACAATGAAATAAAAATGAAAAATAAAATAAAATATAAAATAAAATGAAATGTAAAATAAAATATAAAATAAAGAATTCAGTGTAAATAAAATATCAGTAAGTTCAGAGGAGCCAAGGGGCACTAAAGGAGCAGGGGCAGGGAGGAACTCAAAGTCAGTCCCTGCTTGCTAAGGCCGTGGTGTTCCAGAAATGATCAGATTCCCATTCAGGTGGAGGGAAAAGGAAGGAGGGAGATTCGTGTCTGTGGTGCAGATTAAAGCCCACACTGAGAGAAATGCACTGAGCTGCCTGACAGGGACTGCTTGTAATTACAGCAAACACCAAACAAATGAGAATTCTGAACAGCACAATCCAATGAAGAAATCTTTTAATTAAACTTAGAGACAAGATGTCTCATTCACTGCAGTGACCTGAGCACACACTTCATTATCTCCTCAGCTGAAAGTGTCTCGTGAAGTTTGTAGGGAACTGTGGGACAGGGAAGCATCTGGAATTTTTTTCTGTTCTGGTTTGGTTTTTTTTTCTGAATTGATTCATATCTCTGTATGCTCAGCCATGAATATTTCTGCACAATTCAATTCTTCAAGGAGTTTTTTTTTAGCCAGAAAATGAAGGAATATCTTAAAGCCTGAGGTCCTATTTAAATTTTAAACTGCATTTCAAAAGATACATTTTTTAAAACAACTTACACAAGTTTATTTTATTTATTTTTTTTTTTTTGTGAATCAAGGATGCTTTGGGGTTTCCTCTGGCAGGATTAAAGTTCCTCCCCAGACTCTAGGACAAAAGCTGCTGCACTGGGGAGCTGCCCTGAGGAAAATGCAGCTGTGCAGGAACATCTGGACATGGGCCAGGTACAGCAGCACAAACCTCATCCTCACACTCTCACTTCCATCACATTCCCAGGTTGGAATATCATTCTCCCCAGATGTTTTGTTGCCAAAAATGTTTTCATTGGTTCCTTTTGAGGCAGAGCATAAAAGGCTTCACCTGATCTGCAGCTGGGGGCAGAACAGAGTCAGGCAGTCAGTGCCAACATTGTCAAAACCATTCTTACAGTTCGGATTTTCAGAAGCCTTTAACATTGCAAATTACTCACATAATTTAAAAAATCAGATTTTAATAAAGATGGCTCCTTATTAAACCCAGAGTTGAGCACATGTGCAGCAGAATTCCACAGCTAAAATGAAAATACAATCCAGATGTGGGATTTTCTATGCAAAAGCATTAATGATTCATGCACACTCATTTAGAAAAGCCATGTGAAGGTGAAATTCATTTAAACTGAGGGTCAGCTCTGCCTGTGATTCCCTTAAATCTCATTAAGACTTTTTTGAACTTTTGCCTAATTATTGCACAGCTTTCTGTGCTTACATGCTTGGAATTTCATCCTATGTAGGAAATGATTCCTTCAGTGTGTTTATGGAGCTGTTTTTAACCAGCTCTGCAGTTCCTGGTGCTCTTTTATCTTCTTCCACTTACCCTTCCCCATCCTTATTCCATTTTAATCTTTGAACTTAAAAAAGAAAAATACTAACTGTAAAATGCTGCTTCAGAATGCCATTAAGGCAGCAAGGTTAAAAAAGTCCTAGAAATACAAAAGTTAATGTTCCACTAGGTGCATTTATTCTGACACGCTGCACATACTTTATTTTTTTTTTATTCCCATTTTACTTTGCTACATCAATATTTTAGTAGATTAGTTCTAGTACACTAAGATATAGGGCACAATCAAATAGATGTTGTTTTTGGAGAAGGAACACTTCCCCATGCACGGCTTAAGCTGTGCAACCTAAAAAAATACAGTTCCCAGCATTTATTGTCCATAAAATTGGTGACATGGAGCAATAATTTGGGGCAGGGGCTGGGCTGACTTGGCAGGTTCAGCCCCACCAGGAATTCACAAACCTGACAAGGTTTTTTCTTGGGCCCAAATGTGTCAGAAAACAGAATGACATCTGAATTTCTGCTGAGTGCCCCCTTGGCCTTGGCAATTAACAGCCTGTTAATTATCACTACACTTCTCAAAGCTCAGGTGTTGTCACTTTTCTGCAGTCCAGTAGCACCAAATTCGGGGAGATTTTGTCTCTCTAAACCCACTGAAGGATCAGTCCTGGAACTAAATTCATTTGGAACCAAAAAATCCAGCACAGAATCTCCTTTCTGTTGTTCCATTTTGCCACGTTTGGGTTTTTTAGGTATGTACCTGTCATTACTCAGACAGCTTCTGGAAAACACAAAAATACTTAGAGTCTGATTAAATTTTTATATCTAGAGACTATGGGAAAGCCTTTGGGATATTATTAGCTGTACATAACCTACCTGTGAATTCAGGGCTGTTCACTCTGCCCCAGCACCAAAACCCTCCCTAGCTGGGCTGCAGAGGCTGCTGGGGCTCCACTCACCTGGGCAAGGTGTGCTCAGGTTTGTGAGAGCTGCACCCCGGCCTGGCAGGTGCAATCCCACTCACCTGAGCCCTGCAGAGGGGCCAGGTCCTGGCAGCTCAGGTGTGCCTCTCACCTGAGCCCTGCAGAGGGGCCAGGTCCTGGCAGCTCAGGTGTGCCTCTCACCTGAGCCCTCCTGTTTGAGCCCTGCAGAGGGGCCAGGTCCTGGCAGCTCAGGTGTGCCACTCACCTGAGCCCTGCAGAGGAGCCAGGTCCTGGCAGCTCAGGTGTGTGCCACTCACCTGAGCCCTCCTGGCTGAGCCCCTCTGGCACAGAGCCCGAGATGAGCTCCTTTTAAAAACCTCAATAAAATTTTCAGACAATTCATTATTCATTATTATTCATTTAACCACGGCATGGAGGTGAGAGCAGAGCAGGTGGCTGGGTGTTCTCCTAAATTAAATCAAACTCTGGACTCTGCCAGTCCTGATCTAACGGGCAGAACTTCCACCCTAAAAGGACACACGTGGATTTTCCTTCTGCTCTGACTCCAAGCAGCAGTTCCTGAATTCCTGCAAATACAAATGTACTTCCTCCTCCTCCTCCTCCTTCTCCCTGTCCTGCCTGCACACACAGTCAGGCTGATGGCACAAGGAATGCTCTTTAATCAGCACACACAGTTGCTTACCTAATCTTGGGTGGTTTCTAGGCAGAGCTATAGCAAATTAAAGAAAAAAAACCAAAAAAACAAGACAAAACTAATAACTGCAGAGGCCATTTCCCCTTTCCCAAATGTTATTTGCACTTTCAAAATAATGGTGTGAATCTGACTAAGAGCCATTTACAGTCACTTCACATCATTGCTTTCTCGTGGCTGTCATTTATAGCCCAGGAAGAGGCTGCTAAATGAAGGCATTGTAACTACAGGAAAAAAAAAATAAATCCAGGCTGCAACAGCAACTAAATTCAGGTTGATTTTTATCCCGGAGTGGGAAGGGAGGTGGAATTGTTCCTCTTCTGTCACTGCCAGTGTTTAACAGCCTGCCCTCTCAGCGCTCACAGAAGGGAGATGTTGCCAAAGCAGCCTCACCTCTCACACCTTCCCAAAAATCTCCACCTGCCTTTCGAGGACACAGCCTTTGCCCAGAACACCTGGGCTCAAATCACTCCTTTGCCCAAGGGATTGCACTTTTCATTTGTGCAGAAAACATTCTGGCTCCCTGCTGGATGCTCATCCTTGCCTCTTGAACCTGTCCCACTCATATTGAATAATTAAATATTCTCTGGCTCAGAGAGAG